TTGAAAATCAAGAAGTGGTCATCAACACAACATGGAAAAAACATTCTGTCCCAGAACCTGAAGCAAGCATAGCCCATGGTGGTGTGTCTCATCTCAGAAGTCTACAGTTAGGGAACCCTGAGTACAGTTAGAGTACAGTTAGAGCCTAGTGCTGTGTCACTGTTAAGGGACAGATAGCTGGGATGATGGGAATGGGAGGGTAAGAGTATAATTCTGTAACATGGGCCCACTGTGCTGACCCCCACATGCTTTCTTTGCTGAAAAGCAATTTTACCTGCACCCCTGCCTGGCCCAAGTGGATGGAATACATCACATTCTTCAGCAAAGTACCTGTTATTTGCAAAGAAATAACTTTGATAAGAGAAATCCAATTACTTTGAAGGGAGAGACTTTTGTGACCCTTTTCACAGAGGAGATTCTGGAAGATAAAGATGGTTTCTCCAAACCATACCTGTAAGAATGTATGGTTGAATCCAGTTAGAACCTGTTAGCATGGGCCAAGGTGACCTGGAGTCCCCATGGCAGGGGAACTTAAAAGTCTTATGTCACACTGCTGACAGTCAAAAGTCAAGAAGTGCACCTGGCAGGACTCTCTGGATCTTCTCTGGGATCCCCAGTAAAGCTGGAGTGCACTGGCTGTTCTTGGATTCTCATATTTCCAAATGAATTTCATGACTGCTTTTTCTATTTCTATGAAGAACGTCATTGGAATGTTAATCAAAATTGTGTTGAGTCTGTATTGTGCTTTTGGTATCATGCCATTTTGACCATATTAATCCAAGAACATGGGAGGTTTTTCCATTTTCTAAGGTCTTCAATTTCTCCCTGTAGTGTTCTGTAGTTTTCCTTATAGAGAAAACTAATTTTGTTAGATTCCTTTCCAAGCTTGTTCCTTCTTCCTTCCTTCCTTCCTCCCTTCCCTTCCCTTCCCCTTCCCCTTCCCCTTTTCCTTCCTTCCTTCCTTCCTTCCTTCCTTCCTTCCTTCCTTCCTTCCTTCCTTCCTTCCTTCTCTCTCTTTTTTTAGTCTATTGTGAATGGGATAGTCTTCCTAATTTCTCTTTCAGCTGATTCACCCTTACTGTATAGGAATGCAATTGATTTATGGGTGTTAATATTGTACCCCACTACTTTGATGAGTTCATTTATGAGTTCTAGAAACACTCTGGTGGCGATTTGGGGGGCTTCTATATTTAGAATCATGTTGTTGGCAAATAGGGATACTTTGAGTTCTTCTTTTTCTATTTGTTTCCCATTAATTTTTTTCTTCTAATTGCTCTGGCAAGGGTTTTAAGGAATATGTTGAATAGAAGTGGTGAAAGAGGGCATCCCTTTCTTGTTGCAGGTTTTAGAGCAAATGCTTTCAATTTTTCTCCATTTAAAATGATGATGGCCTTGGATTTAGCATTTATACCTTTACAACATCAAGGTATGTTCCTATCCTTAGTTTTTCTAGTGCTTTGAGCATGAATGGATGCTGAACTTTGTCAAATGCTTCTTCTGCCCCTAGTGAGATATTCACATGATTCTTGTCTTTAAGCCTATTGATGTGATGAATTACATTTATTGATTTCCTATGTTGCACCAACCTTGCATCCCTGGGATGAACTGCGCTGATCATGGTACACCACCGTTAATATATTTTTGTATGGGATTCCCGAATAGCCAAAGCAATCCTTAATGAGGAAAGTAGAGCAGGAGACATCATGAGACCAGATGTTAAATTATACTATGGGGCTGTCGTAACAAAAACATCATGGTATTGGCACAAAAACAGACATGAAGACCAGTGGAACAAAGTAGAAAACACAGAGACAAACCCACATAAATACAGTTACTTCATACTAGACAAAGGCACCATAAACATACATTAAAGAAAAGATAGCTTCTTCAACAAACGGTGCAGGGTAAACTGAAAATCCATATGTAGTAGTAGAATGAAGTCTAACCCCTTTCTCTCACCCTGCACAAATCAACTCAAACTGACTCAAGAACCGAGGCATTAGACCAGAGATCCTGTGCCTGCAAGAAGAAAATGTAGGCCTAACTCTCCATCATGTCAGCTTAGGAACCAAATTCCTTAACAAGATTCCTAAAACACAAGAAGTAAAATCAATAAATGGTGTGTTACAAACTAAAAAGTTTCTTCACAGCAAAGAAACCATGAAGAACATGGAGAGAGCCTACAGAATAGGAGAAAATCTTTGCCACAGATACCTCAGATAGAGCTTAATTAAGAATTCAAAAAAAAACTTATACCACAAAAACAAATAATTCAATTAATAAATGAGCAGAGTAACTGAACTGACAGTTCACAGAAGAAATATGAATGGTCAAAAGATATATCGAAATACGTTCAACATCTTCAGCAACTGGAAGAAATGCCAATTAGAACTACAGTGAGAGTCCATCTCAACTCCAGTCAGGATGGCAGTATTCAAGAATACAAGTAAAAATAAATGTTGGTGAGGATGTGGGGAAAAGGTTCACCCATACATTGCTGATGGGACTGCAAATTGGTGCAACCACTCTAATAAGCAGTATGCAGATTCCTCAGAAAACTAGGAATGGAACCACCATTTGATCTAGCTATTTCACTCTTTGGCATATATGCAAAGGACTTAAAATCAGCATACTACTGTAATGTGACCACATCAATGTTTATAGCAGCTCAATTAACAATAGCTAAGCTATGGAAATAACCAAAGTGCCCTTCAACAGATAAATGGATAAGGAAAATGTGGTATATATACACAATGGAATATTACTCAGCCATAAAGAAGAATAGAATTATCCTTAATAGAATAAATTAAATGGATGGAACTGGAGTCTATCATGTCATGTGAAATAAGCCAATCCCCCCCCCAAAAAAAACAAAGGCTGAATGTTCTCTCTGATATATGGATGCTAACAGATAATACCGGGGGAGGGGTAGAGAGAATAGAAGTTCATTGGATTAGACAAAGGGGAATAAGAGAAGGGATGGGAGATGGGAAAAGGTGAGACAGTAGAATGAACTGGACATAACTTTCCTGTGTACAAATATAAATACACAATCAGTGAAATCCACATCATGTGCAACCACAAAATGGGATCCTAATTAAAATAAGTCATACTCCATACATGTAATGCATCAAAATACATTCTACTGTCATTTGTATCTAGAGAGAACATAACAACAACAAAAACTGGAACGCAGGAGAGGCATGTTGTCCTTCTCCTCTCTGATGGGATCCACTTCCTCCCCTCAGAGTGACCTCTTTCCCTTTTCCTATTCATTCAACAAATTCATTCTTGTTGCTGAGTGATGTGTCCGAAATCTTTCTGACTTAGTCACAGAATCAGGGTTGGAAGGGGGGGGGGTGGTCTTTGGGTTGCCTCAGTTTCTTGGAAGTCCCTAGCTCTGTAACGTCACCTTGATGGTCTCCACTCTGTCCCAGGGAAATGCAGTGAATTAAGACTTCTCCTTAGATAACAGGAACCATTACTATCCATGTAGTGGTAAGGAGCTCTGTGCTATGTTTCAGGATGGTGTCAGTGCACAGGTATAGGTTAGCTTCCTCTTACACAGATAGATTGAACACACAGTATGTTTTAAAGTCTGGAAAAAAAAATCCAGAGCTTGGATATTTTTGTGGGAGGGAACTATCAAAGCAAGAGACTTTGCGAGGGAAGGAAGGAAGGTGAGATATAAAAAGTGCATCTGGAAGAGGTCTTGTTATTTATTTCTTGCCAACAATACTTGGTGCCCTTCAGAATATGCAAGAAGAAAAGTTGGGACTTAACCAACGGCTTACCCCCTCAGTCTTAGCTCCCTCAAGCAAAAGGTTGAATTCTCATCTGCAAAGTGTCTTTTACTTTAATCTCCCAAATAATGTCAATGTCTTAAAAAAAAATCTGCTCCCATGGAAAAGAGCCTGGGTAGTTTTAATATATGTATGGGACACACCACGTTTTACATTTCAAAGATCTCACCTGAGACCATCCCAGGGTAGTGAATAAAATAAAATCTTCTTTTTTGGAAAGAAAAATCTGTGCAACTTTGGAAGTTTTCATTCTCCAAAACGGACCCTACCCGATGCTTCAGTATGAGATAGCATTCTTGCTTTCTCATTTCCAAAATGTAACTGTGCAGATAATTTATCTTTTCAGTGAAGTTAAGTGTGAAATCATAAATATGTTCCTGAAATTTTTAGTTAAAACACATGATTTGTTGTAATTGTTTGTTAAATAATTTAACTGTATGGAAAAATAAAAAGACTAGAATATGACACCAACTAGCTGTCATTGGAATAGCTGAGATCCTTAAAGTTCTGTCTGAATCATTTTTCATTAAAGTTAATCCTACGCTTTAGTCAGCTTTGCAGAAGCTGTTTTCATTGAGTCACATGATCGTTTTTAAAGGTGATGTATCATGTATCTCAAAGATTGTGCTTTTAGTAATTAGACTGTATAGAATGTGTAATGTTGTTATTCTGCTGGAATTTGAAGCATGAAAAAGCCAGGTTTTAAAGCATTATCTTCTTCAATCTATAATACATAAGTAATATGGAGACCAGATTAGCATACTGAAGCAGTTAGAAGCCCAGTGGGGGTAAACACAGTCTTTAAGTCATGGTAACAAAGGAATTGTTTACTAAATGCTACAGTTTTAATGTCAGGAATGTTACTGACACTTGGAAGCTGACCAACTGCCAGAAATAGCAAGGCTGCTAACTGTTTCCTAGGCCATACGTCATTTAATCCTCAGCCCACCTTACAGAATGAGTACGCTAAACCCATTTTACAGGTGCTGGAGCAGATCTCAAGTAAGCTCCTTTTAAGCGAGTGGACAGCAGTCTGTCTGAACTTCCAATCCTCATCACATCCCTGGGTTACATCCTGTTTCTCTAATGTGACCCCTTGGAAAACCGGGCTTTCCCCTCTGCCATTCTGTCGCTTGAGTTGGGACCTCCCATTTCACAGAGATGACATCATTCACCTTGTTGCTTGGTTTCTTTCAGGAATTGCAGTTTGAAAGGCTGACCCGGGAGCTGGAGGCTGAACGGCAGATCGTAGCCAGCCAGCTAGAGCGATGCAAACTTGGGTCCGAGACAGGCAGCATGAGCAGCATCAGGTACTGGCACCCTGCTCTCCCCATTTTCTGGGCTTCCAGCGGCCTTTGAAAGTAAATCGTGGTGTTTAGATTCTCCTTTCCAACCTGGATGGGGAATTGGGACGTTCAGTCAGACGTTGGAAAGAAGTGGCAACTGACCTGATTTAAGATGTTCAAAAGGCCTGATTTGTACTCAGAACTCTTTTAACCAGATTAATGCCTGCCCTGAATGCAAATTATGCATGATTTTACACAAAGGGAAGTGTTGCCTTCAGTCAAGTTGTTGGAAATCAGAGATGCCAAATCCTGAGCTCCCAGATTGCAGCTGATGTTGCTTCTTCTTATTGTTTTTCCCTAAATGATCCAGAGACACAGGCTCCTAAAGTTAAAGAGAGAAAAGTTTGATGTATCCTTTATTGTTTGCTAATATATAATGATAAATTATAAAATTGCCTCCCAAGTGTCAGCCACACGTGCAATTCCCCATGTGTAAAAATATTTACCCACCCATGGGTGGAAGTGACAGTTGAATCAGGGCTGTCTTAAAATCCCACCCTTTAGTCACATGACCAGAAGAATTACCCTCCTTAGGGCCGTGTCTTCATATTGAAGCATGTAAGGATTGTGAGTGTGTGTGTGGATACGTGTGGATGAATGGAACTTCCATTGCTCAGAAGCACATTGTCCTTCCCCACCTTGTTTGGTGATGTGGTTTGGGCACTCTGCATTTTTAGAGTGGCATTGTAATTAGGGAACAGTATCACATAAATGCTAACATTTCCATGACTGAGCCCAACAGCAGTCTGCTTGCCCCATCTGAAACCGCATGGGCAGGCAGGCTGGGAAGGGTTGCTTGCCCCTGTACTGTGTGTGAGGACCAGCTCCCTGCTCTCTGAAGGGCCTGCCATCTCTGAGGCCTCATCCTTATTAGCATTTTCAATTTTGTCACTGCATTCACAGTCCCCTGTTGATAGCCAGTCCCATGGCCTGTTATAGACAGAAATGGGGCAGTGATTCTTGGTCCTGGACTCTGCTGCCAGTTTACTCTGGAAGCCAAAACATGAGCTGGGTAGACTCATCTGTTCTGCTACCATAAAATACTAAAAGTGCATACGCCACTCTTCTTATCACATTGTTCTCTCATTGGTTGAATATGGAAAACCTTTACATGGAAATCTTTGTGCCCTGTGTGGTTAGATGGCTGGGATATCATTTTCATTATAAGTCTTCTGTAGGACATAGAGAAGTATCTGTTATCCCTCCAAATACTTGGTGCATAGGTAGTGGCAGGTGGGAGGTTCAGTGTGGTCTCTTAAACTCACCACAGACTTGTCTAAGCATCCACAGTTGCCAAGGCAGGATGCATAAGGAAAAGGAAAGGGAATTCTTCCCTCCAAATTGGTTGACTGTTTGCAGATGGGTGACTGTGGGGACAGAGGTAAGCCTGCGTTGGCTTCTCTGCATGTGGCTGTGCGTAGCTGAAGAGCTCTGGGCAGGCCCCCCACGTCTTGAGAGGGAGAGGGGGTCAGGCTTTATTGCTCCCCAGGCTCTACTGAACTGACCTCTATTTTCCCTGAAGCCTGTTTACCTTTTGATTTATGTCCTAATCTATCTCTGTGACGGTGTCACGTACTGTGTGTCTTCCACTCCTTTTCACTCCCCCACCCCCTGCCAGGAGCAGGTCTAGGGAACCATGTAGGAGCCGGTTCCTGACTGAACTAAAGTGGACATCTGACCCAAGGGGAACTCAGCTGATGACGAGTCTGTAAAATTGGAATGAGGGACTTAAAATCTGTGACATGCAGGGCACAGAAGCCATGGTGGCTTGTGTGTTCGTGTAGGGCTCTGTAGTGACAGAGAGCAGCCCGACAGAGAAAACTGAATGGGCCCTGAAAACTAGGGAGATTCAGTTTAGTTTAATTAGTTCGTTTCATGTTATTTTATTTAAGGATGGGCTGCATGCATAAGATTATCTGTTAACTTCTTAAATCTTTCCTCTTCATTCATTTGATTTTTCTTGAGTTGGTTTCTTGGATCCAAAGTATCTTGAACAAAACTCAGCACTGAATGACAATTTAGATGGAAAACGGATCCCTTGACAATTTTGATTCTTTACTTCCTGGCTTATAGCCCAGGACGCCTCATCTACAAATCCATGTTAAATATGTATTAAATAAGAGTATTAAGTGAAAAAGACACTGTCCAATTATTTCCCCTTACCATAATTAATATCAGTCTTCTCTAAGTAGATTATTTTGTATTTTTATAAATTTCTAGTGTATGAATTCACATTGATATAATACAAGCATTTTATTGATATATCTGTAGAGAACAACCCCTACATACCTTCTACTATTGTTGGATTTTTTTTTTTAATCATAACCTACTTGTTTGCATGGCTTCAGAAAAGCATCTTTAGAAATTCATGTCTTCATTAAGGGTGAGAGACTAACCTAGTTATCACATCAAAGGGGATATTTAAACAAAAATAGAATATCAACAATTTCTCCAAAAGGAGGACAGTTAAAGAAGTCTGTGATAATTTAGATGTTGACTCATTCCTCCTAGTGATGCTAGAGGGTGGGTGGGAGAATTTCTTGGAGGAACTGAAACAAAATCAAGTCATATTTTCCTGACTTATTTTTATGTAACAAGTAGAATTCACTTATAAATATAACCTTGTTTTTTCTTCTGCCTTTAGTAGTGATAGGAAATCGTTCCCTCTGATTCCTAAGACTGGTAGTCACAGCAATATTTGAACTTACCAAAAATGTTATCAGTATGTATTTATAGCAGTCAACTTTATAGCAGAGCATCAGAGAGTAAATGAGAACGCTGGGCATGGGAGGGAAGGATCTGGAGATGTTTGCTATTGCAAATCGGCTTCTGCATCTAGCTGTCTAGCTTAAGTATAGCTGCAAACAGGAGCATTGTGGCCTCTTAAACTCTTCATAGACTTTTCTTGACATTCAAGGTACACCATAGTTTCCATACTCAGACTGATTCATAGTCGTCCAAGTCTTCTCAGCCATCCAAAAGGAACTACAGGTGCTTGTTACTAGAGGTAGAGTTCTGCTGTGTGGCTTGTCTCCTTCCTGCATTGGCTTTCTGCACCCAGAACCTGTTTTTAGATCAAACCTTTCCAGTCTCCTGGGTCCTCTTTCCATTACTATAATTATAATCTGGTTCCATAATTTCTCCTAGATTCCCCCAAATCATCCAGACCTGAGGCAGGCACATTATGCAGATGTTCTTTGTTTGATGTCCTGGTCTAGTCCCCTGTTATTTAGGGACTAAACAAGCCCCTGTTGGTAGTAGCTTCACCAAGCCTGTCAGCTGGGTCTTGGACTGGCAGCCTGCTGAGCCTTTTGGTCCAGGGACCTGCCTGAGTCTGTGCCCCTGGAATTCTCTCCAAGACCCTATAACAGCCTCCTAAGTCATCCTATGTCTACATTCATCCCAAATCCCGTCTCCACATGGCATGAGATTAGTTTGCAGAATACGCAAACATACTGAGGACACTCTCAACTTCTGCAACCTCTACCATGCTTTCCTGTCTCAGTTCCTACGACCATGTAGTGCCTTGTTCCTAGAACATCCTGTCTCTTTAGCCTGGTTACCTCCTTCTATTGCTCCAATCACTGATCTAAGGAGCTCATATCCTTTGAATATGTTCTTGATTAGTCCAAACTGGACCATTCCCTTTTTTGGGAGTCATCATAGCTCAATAAAGCATCGGATAGGTTGTGATTAATCCTTTGTGGATAATTCTAGAAGCAACCTGTTGCAAAATGTTTTATCCTTCAGTGAAAGGATAAGTGGGCATTTGCATAAGTGCTACTGAAAAATTAAGGGCATCTCAATAGATGCCCACTCTCCTTGACTCCCTGGGGGAGCAGGAACATAGTGGAGAAATGTTGAATTCTAATTACTGTTGGACCCACCTTATGGACTGCTTCTCAGCTAAGCTTCATTCTTTGAAGACTGATGAGGATAGATGATGGTGATGTCAATGATGACAACAATGAGGATGATGGGGACATGTGACAATAGTAAGACTAACAGTTGCTGTGTTCTTCCTGTGGGCTGGTACTTTTCTGAGAATTTTTCGTGTCACCTCATTTCGTACTTGTGATAACCCTTCCAGATAAATGACATCATTGTGTCCACTTTGTCAGTAAGGCAGCCATGGTGGAGCAGGGCAGAACAGGTCCATGGGAGGGCATCTCCACATGAGGGGTCTGGCTGCACTGACTGCTGAACCAGCCAGGAGGAGCCTGAGTGGCACAGTGGGCTCAGACACAGTGTGACTGACCGTCCTGCAGCACACTGCCTCTGAGTTGGGTCACTTGGCACCTTGGGGCTTCACTGAGGAATTCCTCTAACAGAGCTGGGAACAGGGCTTTGGAAAGCCTCAGAGGCAGGGAGCTAGACATGACCTTGTCCATCAGGGAGGGCATAGACCATAGCCCAAGGCCAGTAGAGCCACAGCCTCTACTAATGAAGAAAGGCAGTGTGACATCAGCAGGCTGCAGAGAAGCAGGTGGCAGTCCTAATTACATGATTCCTGCCCCTGCCTCCCTGCAGCCACTCTTTTTAAAGTCCCTGTGGAGAGAAGAGAGAAGGATCTCCGGAGGAGGCTACACAGCAGGTAGGCATTAGAGCATCCTGATTTGGTGCTCAGACTCAGGTGGCTCCTCTGGGTAAGACCTCAGGATATGGAAAAACAGCAACAATCTCACCATAGGAGGAATCACAGTCTCAGTTCCTGCACTAGATGCATTACCTATCGTTTGAGCAGAGAAGTTGATGAGTAGACATAGGAATCAAATGGATTTTAAAAACGAAGGCATTGATCTCAGTAAGTATGAAGTCTGAATGTTGACAAGGTTCTTTTGGTGTCCCAATGACATCATGACCCTAGTAGACTTTTCTGGGGTCCTGTGGCATTTCACTGATGGTTGTGAGAAGTGGTCTCAACAAGATTCAGTGGCCCATGCTTATAATCCCCACAGTTTGGG